TCGGATAAAGTTGATGTAATTGTGGTCCGTTATCGAAAGAATTACCCTGAATCGTTGATTTTTATGTTATTTTTTCTTCGATTTTGCTATTGATCACAGCTTTTTCCTGGTTTTTCCCATTCATCACAATCTTTTTTTCTGTTCCTCGAGCTTTATATAGACTAGGATATGGGTGTGGGTGTGAGTGTGGGTATTTCCGTCATTCACACACACTCACACCTAACCACACCCACACCCCACCCACACCCCACCCAAACCCCACCCACACCCCACCCACACACCCACACACCCACACCCCACACCCTTCAGTTCGGTTCACATTCGGGCTCTGATAACTTCGTACTTGAAATGTCGAAAAAATTAATTTCTTAAATATTATGATTCGTTCAATTGTTTCGAAGATAAATGTTCTCAAAATCTGGCAGCACTCAAGAGAGTAAGCGCCATGGTAAAGATCAACCTTCAGAAAATTTCGAATTGATTCACGCTAGAAGGCGAGACACGCTGAACGATGAAACGGATGAAGAAGACCCAATTTCACTTCAGGAAAACAAAGAAGATATATCATTATTATGGTTTGACAAAAATTTAAATTCAAATATCGATGATATTCGGCTAACTAAAGATTTGCTTCGACAAATTAATAATTATGTTTTATTTTTTACGGAACCTGCTGAATGTTTACAATACATTAAAGATGTAAAAGATGAAAAAATTATTTTGATTATTTCCGGATTATTTACAAAAGATGACGATTTTTTAAGACAAATCCATGTATTTCGTCAAATTGATTCCGTGTTTATATTTTGCATTGAAAAAGAAAAATATGAAAATATTTTATGGAATTCTAATTATTCCAAAATAATCGGTATTTTTACTGAACAAGAAACTTTGATGAGAAGTATACGTCAAACAATAAGATTAGTTGAACAACAATCTGCCGTCTTCAACTTATATAATCATACACAAAAATCAATACGCAATTTGACGAACAAATCAGGTTCATTTGTATGGCATCAGCTAATAAAAGATGTTTTACAGAAAATGCCGGCAGATACAACAGCTGGAAAACGTGAAATGCTTGATAAATGTTACACATATTATCGTGGTAATAAAAAAGAATTGCAAAATATTCAAGAATTTGAACGAACTTACACATCTGATGATGCTATTCGATGGTATACAAAAGATTGCTTTATATACCGATTGGTCAACAAAGCCTTAAGAACAGAAGATATTGATGTCTTATATACATTTCGATATTTTATCATTGGTCTTTCTGCATGTCTTGGTAAATATCATCAATTATGGAAACAGTGTCAAAAAATAGAAATATTGAGATTATATCGTGGTATCAAGCAAACAAATGACGAGACAAAACGCTTGAAAGAAAGCATTGGTAGCCTAATATCAACAAACGGATTTTTCTCAACAACCAAAAGTAAATCAGTGGCTAAAATATATGCTGGCATCGGGTATAATGATACTAAATATGAATCGTTGCTATTTGAGATTGATATAGATACACAAACTCATGCAAATTGTATTTTTGCTGATATAAGTTCTTATAGTCATTTTGCTGACGAACAAGAAGTTCTATTTGATCTGGGTACTGTATTCGAAATTGTATCTGTAGATTACAATTCGACTGATAAATATTGGATTTGTAGAATGATGACCACAAGTCGAGGTATGGAAATAGCTGAAGAATATTTAACATTTCGTAAAAGTGAAATGACAGGCACGAATGTTGATTTAGTCATTTTATTTGGACATCTATTGTATGATATGGGAGAATATAACAGATCACAAAAGTATTTCGAAAAGTTATTAACTGATCGAGGCAACGATGCAAATGTATACTTTGGTATTGGTCATGCTCAGTATATCAAATGTGAATATCAAGAAGCAATCAAAAATTATAGACATGCATATAATATGTGCGAATTATCAGACTTCCTACTGATTACAACACTACTAAATTATCTCAGTATTGTTCACAGGTACATTGGACAGTATGATATTGCTTTAAATTACTTATCTGATGCATTAAACATTCTAGACAGAAACGAATCTAGCCGCAAATCTGACATACTTCGTGCCAACATTTTACATAATACGTCACTAGTTTATCGATTTCTAGGAGACAATACAAAACCTGTGGAGTATGCGGATAGTGCGCTTCATATAATAGAAAAATTAGTGCCATGTCCTTATATCGATTTAATCGATGTTCTTACCACCGCAGCTCTTACTTATCGAGAGGTAGGCGATTATGATAAATCATTAAGATATCAAACAAAAGCATTAGAAATAGTTAAGCAAGTTCTTCCTGATAAACACCCATATCTTGGTATAGCACTCAATAATATTGGCAAAGCCTACTATAAGAAATGTGATTACGAAAAAGCAATGCATTATTTTGAACAAACTACGCAAGTTTTTGCCCATGTTTGGCCGGATTATCATCAACGGCGAGCCATTCCTTTGAATCATCTTGGTAAAATTTACTATCGAATAAAAAACTATGATCAAACCCTAAATTATTATTCACAAGCACTGGATATGTTAGAGAAAACTGTGTCTATAAATCATGCTGACAGTGCTTATACACTAAAAAATATGGGTGAAGTTCATTTAGATTTATTAGATTTCGACAAAGCGTATAATTACTTTTATCGAGCTTTGAATATCTACAAAGAAAAATTTGGTAGTAATACTGACCAGCGTGAGATTGCTAAATGTTACCATTTGATTGGTCAAGTTTATCTGAAACAAAATGATTATGAACATGCATTAGAATATTTTCATGTAACACTGAGTATGTGGCAAAAAACATTGGTGGACAATCATCCAGATTTGGCGTTATGCACGAAGAATATTGCTCATGCATATTTACTAAGATCAGAATATCAAAAAGCATTAGAATACTTTTCCAAGACATTGCATATATATGGAACAAAATTACTACCTGACGACGCCAGAATAATAGACGTTCAAAACTTGATCGCAACTACAGAGGAGCAAATCAGCAAGAACAGCTAAGCCGCATACTTCAATTTTTGAACTAGCAACATGAATAAATAAAAACTCTTAAAATATGCTTCGCTCTACTTTTCGATCAAGCATGAATTTCGTACTTATTTGCTAGCGGATAACGGTTGAGTGAATAATGGGTGTGAGTGTGGGGGTGGGTGGAAGTGCAGTGTGCTGGGCGTGGGTACAGCTGGGTGGAAGTGAGCGTGTGTGGATGAGTGTGGGCCTCGGCGCAAACGATGACCACACCAACACCGCCGAATGTACAGTGTGTTGCATAACCTTTACGCCCCACTCTACAACTTAAACTATAAATGATATCCACAAAGTGTCTTGTACCAAATGAAAGTGCATCGAAAACTGGATTTATTGATACTAAGTAGTGATGGTTACGAAAACATTTCAATATCGAACTTAAAACATTTTTAGAAATTTTCCACCTTTTTGGTGTAGAAAAATGGAGTTCCAGTAATTCGGAAACGGAGGTTTTCCAACATTTTTTGAGATATTCCAAGTAGTTTTTTGAACTTTTTATTTCAAAAAGACGTTTTAAAAATTTTTAATATGTATCGTTTTATAGAGCTCGACGAGCTCTATCGAGTCATGTAAAAATATCGAAGGAAAAAGCTCCTCTATTTCTGAATTACTGTAACTCCATTTTTCTACACCAAAAAGGTGGAAAATTTCTAAAAATGTTTTAAGTTCGATATTGAAATGTTTTCGTAACCATCACTACTTAGTATCAATAAATCCAGTTTTCGATGCACTTTCATTTGGTTCAAGACACTTCGTGGATATCATTTATAGTTTAAGTTGTAGAGTGGGGCGTAAAGGTTATGCAACAC